CTTGAGGGTAGCTGGAGAATCAATGTCTGATACTTCCTGTCTTATGTACCTCCCTAATGCTGGGAGTGAAGGTGTGTGATCCCAGGTGCTGAGATCACCTTTGTGTGAGCTGTTTCTACTTAGGACTGAATAAATCTTGTGTAGATGTGGGTGGACTTTGTCTCACAGAGATCCATCTGGCTTTGTGGGCGTGGAAATCAGCATTCACTAGACCTAGTATAAATGAAGTGGAGTTTATTTGGGGAAAAGAATATACACAGGAAACAAGTGACTTCTGGGCAATCCTGCTCATGGATGTAGACCCTGCCACCCGGATGCTGTCCGCAACCTGAAGGGGTCTTCCATCCCTGAGTTTTCCCTTCTAACTTGTCAAGTCAATACAAGTGACCATGCCCAAAAGGGGTGGTCAGTGCTACAGGTACAGAAGCAAATATATCACTACGTACTCCTGAATCCTGCATCCTGGGCTTAAAGGTGTGTGCCACCACATCTACCTTCCGGCAGCTGGGGTTAAAGGTGTGTACCTGGCTTCTATGGCTTGTGGCTGACTTTGCTTTCTGAATCCTCAGGCACCCTTGAATACATTGTAAATAAATGCTAACATATGGAGTAGCACCTTTCCTTGCCAATGAATTGTGTTAGTGACCCCACCCTTCTGCCAAATCAGCAGACTGGGACATGATTGCAAGGTAGAGAAGTGTAGGGTGGTCATTTTCTCTTGGGTGGCAGAGAACATCGAAAGAGCAGAGACTGCATCTTCTGGAACAGTCTTTACTATTTTCTATATAAGCTGTTCCCCCCCAAAACAACTATTTGTCATTTATCTTGGGTCTAGCGAACTCATTAATACCCCACCTTCAAAATGGAACCACCAATGGAGGACATGAATGTACATGGAAAACCTGACAAAAATTTTAAAAAGGATTCTAAACAAAAGAACAGAGTCAAGAACATCTTCTTGGCAGCAGCATTTTCTCAGATGGACTCGGTTTGCAACAGACAAGCAGAGGCTCTTACAACACAGCTCTTTTAAGGGGCCCTGCTACCCAACCATTATGGTGCATGTGAGTTACTGGTGGAAGCAGTGACCACATCTCCAAGTCACACAGCATGCTGCATGGCAGATTTAGCTTTTACACATACAGACAAAAAAGGTTTAATAGTTGTGGCAGTGAGCACAGCTCCCATTGTTGGCAGGAAATGTACCGGTGGCCATGAAAAAAGACAGCAGCTAAAACATCCACTTTAATTTAAACATGCTGTTTAGCAGATAAAAGGTTTGTGGTCAGGAAAAGATAGAGACATACAGTAAAGACAGATTCAGATAAAGAAAAATCTCTCAGGGCTTTACAACGTGTTTAAAAATATACAAAGGCTTGGGAAAGGAAAAGATAAAGATAAAGGATAAAGAAAAAGATAAAGAAAAAGGGTAAAGGCATGTAATGAGAGATTCTTTGTCCAGGCTGGTTCTGCTGAACTTCATCCCCAAATGAACACAGAGACATTACATTAGTTATAAAATTTTTGGACAATGACTATATTGGCTATCTCAGTCTTAACTATTAACCCATTTCTATTAATCTTAGTATTTCCACGTGGTCTTACCTTACTGGAGGAGTGTCTGGACTGTTACTGTTTGGTGGCCAACATGCCTTCTCTTCTGGCATGTCTGCTCTGCCAATCTGTCCCAGAATTCTCTTCATTCTAGTCCCAGCTATCTTCCTGCCTCATTGGTCAGACAGTGTTTTATTCATTAGCCAATAAGAGAAACATGTATATAGAAGGGCATTACCCTATCAACTCCTTTGTCTGTCTAAATACAATAAAGGGTTTTACCTTTAACATAGTAAAATATATACCAAAAACAGTTATCAAATAGGAAGTACAGTTAATAATATTTAGTCCATTTTTTGGCAAAATTTAAAGAAAATAATCTATCATCTATCCTTTCTTTGTGAGTCTAAACTTTCTTATGTTACGTATCATTATCATAAAGAAGGAAAACCATAACCATAACTATCTGTCTCAACTCCATCAAAGACCACAGAAAGTTAATATAAAAACTCTACAGTTGACAGGAACATCTCACTGACAGGACAGTCATTTAAGTTCTTTGTGACTTTGGAGCGTCTGTCCTCAGTCCCCTGGCCATAGTGTATCTGACTGACTCACCTTCCAGGAGCCCCTTCACAACACAGACACTTACTAAGCAATAAAGAGATGTGGTTAAAGGAGACCCCAGCAGGACCCAGATGGAGAGAGGCTCTGAGGACCAGGTTGTCCTACTCAGGCTTCCTGCTGCTGTGACCAACTCCATGGCAAAGGTAACTTGGGGTGGACGGGGCTCGTTCCAGCTCACAGGTCCACATCACTTGGCACCAGGAGCTGAGGCAGAGGCCATGGAGGGGTGCGGCTGCTGACTTGCTCCTCATGGCCTGCTCAGCCTGTTTGCATACATAGCTCTCAGTACCACCTGACCAGCCAAACAATGCACACAATGTGCTGGCCCCTCCCACATCAATCACCCATCAAGAACATGCCCCATAGGCTTGCCATTGGCCAATCGATTGGGGACGTTTCTCAACTGAGGTTCCCCTTTACAGAATGACTCTAGTTTGTGTCAAGTTGACAAAAAACTAGCCAGCACATCTCTGGTCCCCAGAAGCCAGGTGAAGGTTGCCGGATGATCGCTGACCCTCAGGGTTTCTAGCAGAGCTGAGCTGAGCTGAGCTGAGCTGAGCACAGGGCTACAAAAAGAAACCCTGTCCAAAAAAGAAAGATAGAAAGGAATGAGGTATTTCTCGAAATCAGTCAAGACTATGAATTGTTGAGAACTGTCATTCCTTAAACATTCTCTACAAGAGTGGTTTGGAAATATTATTTCCTAGTATTGGCCCTTATAGCACCAAAAATGCACCACTGCTCTCACTTGACATATAGCTATTACGTTTGTCCACTGGGCGGTCTTTCGAGCTTTTAGGTTTTGTTTTCTGAAAGTGATCACAAGGTACTGTTTGCTTTAACCTGACCCGTCTTTTGCAACCCAGCTTAATCATTTTACAGGTTTCTTTGGAAGTAAATGAGCTAGATAGTTGACTAATAGGGGCAGATTTTTTCCATTTCAATGATATGTATAAAAGAAATACTGTTAGTGAAATAGTGTATAAAATTTTTCTTTCCACTCCCTTTTCTTTTAACAAATTCAGTATTAAAGTATTGATAAATAAAGCCCTACTAATTAAAGTGGGGGTTACCATTGCCAATGTGACCAAATATTCTGACTTATAGTACTGTGTTTAATATCTCCTTCCCCTCATCATCAAAAACATTATCAATATTAATATTATAAACAGGGTGTCATGTTCCACAGGCTGGTCTCAAATTCACTATGTGGGTCAAGATGTCCTATAATCTCTGACCCTCCTTCCTCTACCTCCTGAGTGCTGTGATATCAGGGGAACACAACCGCACCTGATATTCATGAGAGACTGGGCCTCCAACCACACCCTGAGCATGATAATCAGGCCCTCTACCAACTGAAATACACTTCCATCTCCAGGACATCTATTCTGTTAACTTTAAATGCAATTAATACTAATGTACAAATGAAAACTAACAAAAGGAAAATGTAAATAAAATTTTCTAATTCACATAAAATATTAAATAAGTTGAATTAAAGGTAGTAACTTTTGTGTCATTTTTTAAATTATAAAGGAGTTATGAAAATCAGCTGTATAAAGGTGTAGTTGCACATGCTTCCAATCTCAGCAAGCTGGACGTAGAAGAAGGTGGATCTCTGTGGGTTCAAGGCCAGCCTGGTCTACAGTGAGTTCCAGGACTGCATTAGCTACATGCATAGACCCTGTATCCAAAAACCAAAAAATGATTTAAAAAAAGAAGAAAATCAGCTGTCATGGGAAATACTATTCATCTCTGTTCATGTTGTGCTCTTGTCTTAAACTATTGAAATCTTACCTGAAAATCATGAACATTTAAAATAAAATGTTCTATGATGATGACATGCAAATTTTGGAAGAGTGACAAATGCATTCACAGACACACATCTCCTCTTAAGGACTATGTGACTGATTGACCATGGAATCACATGAGCATCTCTTCTAGGTTTCCAGGTAGTTACAAACTTTTCTCCATTTAATTCTCTATACTGGGTTGGACCATGGGACCTAGTCCTTGGACAGCCTCTATAGACCTAAGCTACCATTGCTTATAACAAGTACCTGCTACTTCTATAGTTCAGACTTGTTATATCTATCTATCTATCTATCTATCTATCTATCTATCTATCTATCTATCTATCTATCTATCTATCTACCTACCTATCTATCTATCATCCATCCATCTCGATCTCAATCTCTATCATTTATTTATTGGGTTTTTCAAGACAGTGCTTCTCTGTGTAGCCCTGGCTGTCCTGGAACTTACTCTGTAGATCATTCTGGCCTAGAATTCTCAGAGATCTGCCTGCCTGTGCCTCCTGAGTGCTGGAATTTAAGGCCTGGCCAAACTCATTCTAAAGTCATCTATTTAAAATGAAATCCAAGTAAGTGTTCTGTCAACCTTGGACACAAATGGAACTTGCCAGAATCAAGTTTGAAGGTAGCAGGATGTCAGAGCAAAGGACCTGGCTGAGAGAAGACAGCCAGAGGCAGAGACTCCTGGCTCCCCGCAACAAGCCTTCCCCCACATTGGCAAGCACCCAGGCCCCTGCTTTTATTTGAATTAAATAAATAAGTCCCTGGGTCTAAGTTGATGTTAAACACTCCGGTCTTTATTACTGGACATGACAGGATGTTAATCATATTTTATGTTCATTAAAACACCCTCATGTGCCCATTTCTGATTTTAGCTTTCTCACTTGAAGATCTTTTTCTCTGACATTAATAATTAACCAGAGAGCTAATTTACCCAAATTCTTCCAACTCTGTTTACTTAAAAGAAAAGTAGCTACAAGAAGGTCATGCCCATGGGTGCATGCCACTTCCAGCCATGGGCATTTGGTGGACACTTTGCTTTTTAATTTTCCTGGACAAAAGCTGGGGACAGGAACAAACGTAAGTAAAACAAGCCATCTTCATTTCCCTGGTCATCTTAGCTGTGGGGAGTGAAAGGGAGATTCAGGGCTGTGTTGATTCAACAATAACTGTCCCCTCCTGAGATAACAAATGGAAAGTCTCAGCTGCTCATGAGAGAGCTGAGGACACATCTCGGTTAGTGGGAGCAGCTAACAACACAACTGCTACTTTGGGATGGCAAAGTCAAACTAGGATAATCAATTATTTGGCATTTATCACCTACTTGTACTTGACACTTAGTTTTGAATTTTCCTGTTCTAAGTGCATTGATGTCAAAGTAACTCCAATAGGGTTGTCTTATAAAACCAATCACTAATAATCATCAATGTATTTTAATTTTTCTTATTTATCTTTAAATTTAAATTTAAATTAGTAACAAGGTTGCTTCACATGTCAATTCTAGGTCCCTCTCCGTTTCCCTCGCCTCCTCCCATGCCCTCCCACCAATCTCCCAATATCCCTTTCGTTTCCCCAGGGAGAGTGAGGCCGTCCATGTGTGTGTCCATAGTCTGTCATTTCATCCAGGGCAGGGCCTAGACCCTCCCCCAAGAGTTCAGGGTGAGAGTGCATTTGACATTGTTGGATGGGAGTCCAAAGTCTTTTCTTCTTTTTATGATGAGGTTTCACTATGCTGTCTGGGCTGGTCTCAATTCATGTGTCCACATGAGACTCTGCCTTCAGCTCCCTGGCTAACCGGTGCTATAGGCCTTGGCTAATGTGCAGAGCCTGCTCAGTCCACATGGGATGGCAAGTCCAGACAGGAGAAGTGAGGGGTCAAGGGTCACACTGCTAGGGAGACAGGATTTCACTGTAGTCTCCTGCTCAGCACTTCACTTCCTCCCTGACAATGTCAGAACTGTAGAAATACAAATGCCAGGAAACGTGGACTAATGCGTAAGCCTGTCACACAGTTCTACTTCATTACAAGGTCACAGTCATCCATGAGTACTGCCATCTATTTTTATGTATTCCTTTTTGACAGACAAGCAACTGAAGCTCAGGGACAGGTAGATTAATTACCAGAACCTGGACCCTCATGATCTGTGTCCATGGGTTCTACTCAGAAGCAAATAAAGAATGCTTGCACTCAACCCAGCTCCCTCCCCCGTTGCATGGGATCCCTTGGTCTGTGGGATGTTGTGATTATCCACATTCGAGGTATGAGGATGACATTCCTTAGTTGACTCCCTGAAACCAGCATCGACTCAACTGACCAGATGTGCTTTAATAAGTGTCGAGGCATTTTCAGTCCAAGAAAGATGACAAACCAGCCAACTTTTACGACACCTACCTTGTAATAGTTTGTGTGGATGGGAGAAAACAGTTCCTAGAGACTGCATTCTAGTTGAAGAAGCAGATAATGACTGAGTGAATGAATGAATCAATGAATGAATGAGCCAATGACAGAATAAATGAGCTTATGACAAGCGAATGAGCCAATGACACAATGAATCAGCCAATGAAAGATCAAAAATATGCAAGGATAGAATGGATGAGCCATGGAAAGAATGGATGAATAGGGACAGGCAGTTCCAGTAGCATAAAGAAAACAGGAGAGTACAGAAACCAAAGGCTACATTTAAGGCTCTGGACAGAAAGGTTCTCTGACAAAAGTGATGTGCAGATAGAGCCTGCAGGAAATGAGGGGACGCCATACAGATGTGTGCAGAAAAATAGACACAACCCAAGCAATACCCAACTCTGTGCAAGCCCAAAGACCCGGAATTCTGAGTGAGGAGGAAAAATACACACGATTAAATTTCTTCCCATGCGCAGACTGCATGATTGATAAATACATCAATATGGACCAAGGTTTATGTGAAGGGGAGTTCCACATTCAGCTTTTAAAAACTACGTATTTATTTTTGTCTGGGTGCAGGGAGGCATACATATCACACTGAAGACATAGCCAGGTCAAAGGGCACCTCCTTAAGAATCAATTCTCACCTCCCTCTATGCGGGTTCTGGGATCAAACTCAGGCCATTATTCTTGGTGGCTTTTTATCTCATAGCTGTGGTTTAGGCTTAATTATAACTTGTTGCTTCCCGTTAATCTTATGCTTTCCAGCATAATAAATTTTGACCTTAATTTTAATTTGAAATGTTTTTTTAATACAGGATTTCTCTGTGTAGCCCTGGCTGTCCTGGAAAGCACTCTGTAGACCAGGCTGGCTTCCAACTCAGGGAAACGCCTGCCTCTGCCTCCTCAGTGCTGGGCTTAAAGGCTTATGCCACCACGGACTGTCTTAAAATAGGTTTTTAAAATTAATCTGGAGTGAAAGAAAAACATATCAGACATTTGAGAAAACCTGCAAAGGTAGTGAGCCTTTCTTTTCCTCTTTCAACAGCTATGGTATTTCAACACCCAAAGTCTTCCATGCTGGAGCACCTGAAAATGTTGTAATTCAAGCTCATGGCTACACCGAAGCATTTGATGCGACAATCTCTATAAGAAGTTATCCTGACAAAAATAGGACCTATTCTTCAGGTTATGTTAATTTATCTCCAGAAAATAAATACCAAAACTCGGCAGTGTTAACAGTATGTATTTATTCTTCTTTTTCTTTATGTCTTCTTGGTAAAATTTGTGCAAAGCTTGAACATTAATAAAATGATAGTCATTAGTATCATTCCACAACTGTGTGTTATGAGATGGTAAACAGTAATTAATTGTAGATGAAAGTTTCTGTCCCACCGATCCCTCAGCTGTTTAGTCCCTAACAAACACACAGAGGCTTATGTTCATTGTAAACTGTTGGGCCTATTGACCAGGCTTCTTACTAACAAGCTCTTACAACTTAAATTAACCCATAATCTTATCTGTGTTTGGCCACATGACTTGGTATCTTTTCTCAGTAAGGCATTCTCATCTTGCTTCCTCTGTGGCTGGCTGGCGACTCATCTCTGCCTTTCTTCTTCCCCAAATTCTACTAGCCTGGCAGTATTTTCTGAATCCATCTACCTGTTGATGGACAAGCAGACTGTCTCCATAATTTGGGTATCATGAATAGTGCAAACACATCTTACCAAGTTGTATTTTATCGCCCCTGGTACATGCCCAAGTGCTATAGCTTAGCCAGAAGTACTTCTATTTTTAGGAACTTCCACACTGGTTTTCCTAGTGGCTGCACCAGTTTGCACTCCCTTCAGCAATAGCAAGGGTTCTCTTTCCCTGCATCCTCACCAGCATTTCTTGCTCTTATCACCATTGTGAGGATGGCTGCTCTTACTGGAGGGAGATGGGGTCTCAGTTTCTTTGGCGTTTTCCATAAGGCTAAGGGTGTAGAGCAGGTTTCCATATGCTCGTCAGCAGTCGGGGCTTTGTTGCTTATGAACTGTGGGATCGTTTCACTACCCAATTTATTGCTTGTGTTGTTTGGAGTTTTGTTTCATTTTGTTTTAGTCCTTAGTTTTAAAAGTCCTTTATTCTAGATAATAATTCTCCATCAAATGTATAGGAAAAATTCTCCTGTTATTGGTGCCACGTTTTCACTTGTTTCCTTCCTTGTACAGAAAACATTAAGTATTTCTTTCAGTCATGTTTGCTGGCTCTGGGTATCATTGTCTCCTGAACTGTTGGAGTACTGTCCAGAGAGAGTCCTTGTCTGTGTTTGCCTCTTGAAGTGTCTTCCGATGCTTTCCTCTAACAGATTCAAGATTTTCTGGTCTCATATTAAAAATCAAACAAACTAGAAAGGATGTATTCTTTTTTATTTTATGAAGTAATGTGGTCAGCACAGGGTCTGCTGTGACTAAAACTGTGGTTAGGCATTTTTAGAAGTTTACTACCATTTGAATCCCATTGGCTTATTATAGATTGGTTTAAGCTGTGCACATTTTCTTAATTTAATTTTGATAGGTCATATGTTTCAAGAAATTTACCTGTGTCTTATTTTCAAATGTATTGGAATATAGTTTTCAAAACTTATTCTAACAAGTTGCTGAGCTTTGTTGAACTCTGTGGTAATGTCTCTCTTTTTATCTCTAGCTTTATTTTGTCATCAATCTAAATGTATCTATACCATCTATCTATCTATCTATCTATCTATCTATCTATCTATCTATCTATCTATCTTCTATCTATCTATTTATCATCTATCTATCTAATCTATGTATCATCTGTCATCTCTCTTTCCATCTGTATGTCATCTTTCCATCATCTATTTACCATCTATCATACATCTTTACATAATCTCGCTGTCTATATATCTATCAATAATCATCATCACCTTCATCGTCATCATCATCTAGCTACCACAGCTAACTTGTCTAAGAGCTTATGCATCTTGTTTCATCTTTAAGAACAATTTCGGCCGGGTGGTGGCGGCGCACGCCTTTAATTCCAGCACTTGGGAGGCAGAGGCAGGCGGATCTCTGTGAGTTAGAGGCCAGGCTGGACCGATAGCCTCCAAAATAATACAGAGAAACCCTGTCTCGTAAAAACCAAAAAACAAACAAACAAAAAAACCCGAACAATTTCAATTTCAATTATATGAATGTGCTTTTGGGATTGAATGGCTGTGACATGACTGTGGGTACCCAGGGAGATCAGAAGTTTCAGATCCCTGGGGCTGGAGTTGTAGATGGTTTCAACTGAAAAACATTACTTAGAATCAATTCTAAAAAACACAAATTATTTCAATGATGATCTTGAGAATAAATATTCTAATCTCTGTAAAAAATACATCCCAAGTACTTGGTTTATGAAAATTTAAATTCATTTCTCCAAACTCTTACTTTCTCTGGCTACTCTATATGAGGCATGGTAGCCACTAGCCATATTTGTCTTTAAATTCAATCAACTAACTGCAACTGGTGTAATACTTGAGTTCCTCACGGGCACTAGTCATGTGTTAGGACTGCATAGTTACAAGACTTATCAGTCCCCACAGGAAATCTCACTGAGCTACGTTCGTTGGTCATCTCAGGAGTCTGAGGACCATGGAAGAATTCTAAACATTGATACACATGTACTTAATTTTATTTTAACACTACAAAGTAAATTTGCTAATTAAACATGTTGTATCAGTCTTGTCCTTGAGTCCACTTTTTCAATTGAATTATCCACAATTAATGAATACTGTTTTTGTTTTCAATAATCCTGACTGCAGTTTCCCCTCTCTCCATTCCTCCTGTTTCTCCACCACCATAGCCACCTTGCCTTTTCTCCAGATCCACTCCTGCTCCATTTCTCTTCAGGAAAGGGCAGTTCCTCCCAGGATATCCACTGGGCATGGCATAGCGAGATGGGATAACACTTGGCCTGAACCCCCATTTTAATGTTGTGCAAGGCAAACCAGTAGGAGGAAAAGGGTCCCAAGAGCCTGTGAAAGAGTCAGAGACACCCCCACACCCACAGCCGTACCACAAAATATCAAGCTAGAAGGCATGGTAGAAGCTATAGTATTGTTTTAGGTAGATAAACAACTCAAAGACATCTATAGCTCATCTCAGCACAGAAAATCGATAGTTTGTTTTTTACTGCTTTCAAACTTTTGTAATAACCTCAATGCAGTTGATTTTAGTGATTAAGTTTACCCCTGTGTTTCTGAACCCTAGATTTTCATGGAAATATGCTTTCCTTTGATGATCTGTGTTAATATATGCAATCCCCATATCACTGGATATAAAGGTGATGATGGCAATGGCATAGGCAAACTTGAATGGGCATCTATGATGTGTGCACAGAGGCTGTGATGTGATGAGAAGTGTCCAGGCCATTGACAGGACACTGTGCACAGAGAACACAGAAACCAATCCATCCAGAATCTGATAAATCGAAGGTTTCTTACAAGTTTCTATAACAGTTAACACTCATATAAGAGTTCTGTTAAATATATCTGAAATGGCACCAAAAAGATTTCTGAATGCTTAGTGCTAAAATTTTATTATGACACAGACTATGAAGGGTATTTGGCAACCTAAATTATTTTTTTTCCTGTAGTGGTTTTAGTAACTTTGTCTGGCTGATTATGTTTATGAGACAAATTTTCAGCGTGTAGTCCTAGATAGACTTGGAACACAAGATCTGCCTGCCTCAACTTCTGTAGTGCTGTACTATAGTAGTATTAATTATTATGATTACCATTAATTGTTGTTTTCAAGACAAGGCTGGGAAAAGGAACAACCTAGAGAGGGTGAGATGTTGCCACATTCTTAGACAGAGAGTCATCACCAGAACGGTTGATCTGACTCCAATAAGGTGGTTAGGCATACCAGATAGTCTAATAGCTTTGGCTGTCCTGGAACTAGCTCGGTAGATCTTGAACTCACAGAGACCGGCCTTCCTCAGCCCCCAAATGCTTGGATTCAGAGTATGCACCACTACAACTGGCCTATTATTATCTTTTAAAGTCCATGTGTATGTGTATTTTTGCCTGCATGTATGTTTGGGTTCCATTGTGTGCAATAACCACAGAGGACAGAAGAGGGCCTAGGATCCCTGGAACTGGAGTCAGAGGTGGTTTCAGCTGCCATGTGGGTGATGGGAACTCAACCTTTGTCTACTAGGAGATCTACCAGTGCTCTTAACTACTGAGCCTTCTCTCCAGCCCAGTGCACCTCTTTGAAAATGATGCAATGCACAAGCTCAGTTTTAGTCTTATGAGATTACAGTGGTAGTTTTTTTCTTTCAGTATCAGCATGCTTTAGGACTCTACAGTCACACTTTCTGATCGTGGTGTTTGTTTGTTGTTTTATAGGTTCAGGCCAAACAGTTGGCTGAAGGACCAAGCTCATATTCATATGTGTATTTGGAAATTGTGTCGAAGCATTTTTCAAAATCAGAAAAAATGCCAGTCATCCATGACAATGGCTCTCTCTTCATCCATACTGACAAGCCTGTCTACACTCCACAGCAGCCCGGTAGAGTATCTGATGCCCCTTTCAGGGAAGAATGACAAAATTATGTGGAAGTTGTAACATCTGAAATTGAGTGGAGACAGGTTTTCACTTTACTCAAGAGAAACTCGAATCCTAACGACATTTATATGCTCAAATAGCATTTTCACTTTATTTTATAAAGGAATTGCTAAATAATAACATAACCAATGATCATATCATCTGCCTAGGTAGAGAATTTATTCATAAAAAATACAGAAGACATAACTGCAAATACCATTTCGGCCTTGAGGAATGATATCTTAAACCTTGTTGTAAAACATTCTTGGATTCAGTATCTTGTCCCAATGTTGGAAAAATGAATCCAAATGAAGAGAATTAGACATCTGGCAGATATTACTGTTGCTCACAGAGATGCCTAGACGCTGATGGCCAAGGTTAGCCACATAAGAACTTGTCTGTTAAGCAGCGTTTAGCATCTACAGTTTTACTTTTGAGGTTAAAAAGAGGAAAGACACTGTGGTGGAGGAAACCCTATATTCCCCCAAAGAAACGACAATCAGACACAGAAATCATGTCCGCATTGCTTGTGAAACCTCTGTCTTCTCACCTGCCACTTGCCATCTCCTGACAATTAGAGACATCTGTCCAAGAAGTCATGTGTTGGGAGGAGACTGAGAAGAATCATTGGTGGTTTTCATCATACTCGGAGGGAAGGACTCAAAGAAGAAGCAGAATTGGCATGCTTTGTTCTGTTTTCACCTTGTGTACAGTAGAGACCTTCTACTTTTGGTGGACACTGGTGATGTCCACAGTGAGGTGGAACAGGACGGTGTGGTCATCATCCCATTTGGCAGGATCACCTGTTACACTGTCTTAGAAAGAAAGACCTAGGCAGGGTGAGGATGTTGCCACCAGCTTAGACAGATTCATTGCCACAAATGCTGATCTGACTCCAACAAGATGACTTGGTACAGGAGATGGTAATCTCTGTTTGTGAAGTTATTCTAAAAGTCCTTTATCCTATTGGTGTATTTAATGCGAAGATACTTGAAGGATTATAGCTTAAGCATCTTTGACTAAAAGCTCAAGTCTCCCAGACTCTCTAGGATGAAGGACCTTAGAATGTTGTCCAGAGTCTTTCAGTCTGTGTAGCCCGTGTCCCGCCCTCTCCCCAGCTCCCTTTCCTACTGTACCCCACAGCCGACCATGGACTGCAGTCATCCTGACCTCAGTCCAGGTCTCTTCCCACCACTCTCATCCATATGGAGGTGGGCACCACGTGCTGTTTCCTCTGCACAGTGCATTTCTCTCCTTTCCTTTGCCTCAGGACCTCCTGCTGGTCCCCCTGTACTCAGGGATCCCTACAGACCCTGTAGTCACGGCTTGCACTGCCACCCTCTCACATTTCCACACAGTCTTTCTGTCTCCTCTCCTTTCGTCAGGGCCAGGCATAGAACTCCAGGGTCTTCCTGCATCCCAGGCAAGGGCTGCATCACTGAGATAGGACCTCAGACCTCTCTTGTCCTCTCAAAGCCAAGGGAGTGTCCTTACAGCACGCATGCTCCTGGGAACTTACTTAAGTGTATTCTTTCTCTCCTACAGAACACTGCAAGGCTTCGGTGTGTGATTATTTCACCACTCTTACTTTGTTGTCTACCACAATGAAGACATTTCAATATAGTCTTGACTTCAATATACATATTTTATTGATCTTGCCTCTGATACACTAAGATTAATATTCTAAGATGATTAAAAACAAGTTTTAAAACTGAAAAAAGCCACTGAAATCATAATGATAGCTTAAACATTTGTTGCTTCTTTTGTGCTGAGTCATCTGGAGACTGTCCTCTTTGTATCTGTGTTATTGGGAGGCCACACTAATTCTCCCAAATTAGGAATGATGTTCAAAAGTACAGCTATCTCAGAACAAGGAAGAAGAGTCAGACAAGACCACAGTTTGGAATATCAGAGTTGCAGCTGATCTTAGGTATGAGGTTTGTTTTAGCTTTACAGTTCAGTGGTGGTCAGCCCATGGTCATGTATTCTCTGTGTTTTGAATGGTTGTGAATCTTTATAGTTGAGATACCAGCATAGATGGGGCAAATTTTGGAGACCTCCCCTAGATGAAGAGTGATAGGCAGTCAGCGGCTGCAGAGAGGGTGAGTTGGGTTTATTCAGGAATGAGTTCCCACAGCTGATGAAATCCTGAGTAGTCAGCCCTAAACACATGAGCATAAGAGTAATATTAGATGAGTGTGTGTGTGTGTATATGTGTGTGTGTATGTGTGTGTGTAAGTATAGCAATATTAGGGATGCAATAATAGTATTCCTGATTGTAATTCTAAAAAATAAAAACTTTTAAGTTAAAAAATACTGAGCACAATAAGCAAAGATAAGGAAGATGTTTTAAGGGATCAAATTTACACTTGACAGATGAAAAACTGCAGGATGAAAACACATCAAATGTTCACCTAATTTTTCTTCTTTGAACCTGTTTTGTGAGACAGGATTTATATGCCTCTGATTGTCTTTGAACCTGCTTTGTAGACTAGGCTGGCCTCCAACTTATAGAGATCCTTCTGCCTGTACCTCCCGAGTGTTTGGATTAAAGTGTGTGCCACCTCACCACCTGGATCTGTGTGTCTATTTTAAAATAAATAAAAATGAATAAGAAAATGAAAATAAATCAGCTTGAGACACATACAAAATGTAAAAATAGAGGACCTTGTAGGGTTTGGTTTTACAAGTCTATAATCCCAGCACCTGGGAGGCTGATGAGCAAGGTCTGTGACTCACAGGCTAACTTGTACTTCTTAGAAAGAAAATAGAGTGATACGCCTTTGTGAAAGAGTGTTTGCCTGGAATGTTGAAATACCAGCCGTTCTGGGATGCAGCTACTATTCTCTTAATGAGGAGAGAGCACCCACAGGACCTGGGGCAGCAAATGTAACAAAAATCACATGATCACAGTGCCTTATCTTCACAAACACCATCTTGCCATTTAACAATTCAGTCCTAATGTAAAGCAGCCTTGTATGTTTTCATATAGTCTACAGTAGAACTCACCCTTTTGATAGTATGAAATTCCCAATAATGGTTGCCCAGTGACAGATATAATTAATTTTATACTATATGCATGTTCCCAGCAAGTTGTATGTAAGCATTTTCATAAAGTGAACTGTCTTGCTCACTAGTAGTAAGTCTTGAGGAATTGCTTTAAAGTGAAGGAATCTTTATTAATACAAATGTTTACCAACAACTTTCTTTTAAATACATATTTTCCTATAAGGGTACTTACAGTTTTTAATAAGATTTATCTCATTGAAGAGGTTTTTAAACTATTTTATTTTATTAATCTTTGAGAATGTCTCCCAATATATTTTATATGATTTTCACCCTGAAGTAGTTTGTCTCAAAAATTAGAATCGCCCTTGTTTACCAAAGTTTTTGACGATATCACCTTTTCTTGCAGTAAAGGTTGGCATCTATTCCCTGCATGATGAATTAGAGGCAGTTACAAAGGAAGCTGTCTTAACTTTCGTAGTAAGTATTTCCTCAGTCCCAGGGTACTCCCCTCACAGCTGTATGGACTGAGCAGGGCTGCCCCCTTTCTCAGAATGTCTTGTCACGAGAACAAACTCTTCATAAGTGCTTGCTTGCCCATCTGCTTTCCCATTCAGAGTGGATACGAGGCCGCTCCCCTGTGCATACAGTGTCATCTCCTTATAACTCCAGACTCTAGCACTGTGGGACAAAACACATCTCTGGTCTTTAGACAATCACCTGGTCCCAGTTATTCTTTTATACAACAGAAAACAAACTAAGACAGGTGGGTTTTCTTCCTTCCCTACAGGACCCTGAAGGATCAGAAGTTGGCACACTACAAGGAAACAATCATACTGGAATTGTCTCTTTTCCCGACTTCAAGATTCCTTCTAACCCGAAGTATGTAATAGAAACTGTTTTCTGAGAAACACACCCAGGACTTTGGTTGTGAGGTAGAGAAGTGGTAAGTGGAGCCACCCCTGCTGACCCAGGCAGCACACAGGTGGCCATGTGAAGCCTTCCAAAGGATGCAGAAGGCACACCCACTTCTCAGCAGAGCAGAGTGGATCCCAGATACCAGACACTTCCCATCACATCAGGAGGCTCAGATCTCCAAGACACTGAAGAAAGAGGCTTACTTAAATCTAGGCATTAGCAGTTAGCTATGGCAGATGGCAAAGTCTGTTTCAATAAATGAATACACACACATTCAACCAAACACACACACACACACACACACACACACACACACACACACACACACACGGATTGAAAGAGGGAGAGAGAAAGTTCCAAATTTTCCTATCCATTCTGTTTATACATAGAGTAATAAATTTAGAAGAGAAACAAATCTTTAAGTAGTCCTTTTCCTTTTAAGTCAAACCGAGTGTCAATTTATGGGCAGTGTTGGTTTGGATTATAGTGTATTGGAAGTATGCTTATGGCTTGCAGGTGCAGAGACTTGGGTTTAATGAAAACGTGCGTGCATGTGTGCGTGTGTGTGTGTGTGTGTGTGTGTGTATGTGTCTGTCTGTCTGTGCAGATGTGTAGGAAATTTTATTCTACTTGGCCTCATATGCCAAGATTTAAGACCAGGTGCATTCCGAAGTTGATGAAATACATATTCAATGTGTGTAAATCACAATAAGAGAGCAAGCTGCCAAACAGAAATGAAACGCTCACAACCCCTGTGTCAAGGGACATAAAGCAGGATGCCTAAGGCAAGGCAGCCACCACACAGATTTTCAGTAGAACCACTTCCCAGCCATTGTTCCTCTGTCCTCTCTGGGGAGTTTGTATTTAGTTCGTTTTGGAAACATTGTTCCTGAAAACATTGGGAGGTTGTGATATTCTGGAAGATTTAAATTATACAATTTTTTAGAGTGCCTTAGGCTTTCTGGTGCAGAACTGAGTTTGTTATGTTATTACGATTCTTATTTCCCAGACTTCTCCTCGTGTCAATGTCCCATGGCGCATTATAGGAATCCATCTCCAGCCTTAGCAGCTTGGTGTCTGTTGTCCTCTTTGCACAGAACATTCCTCTATGGTCCTCTTGCTTGGACACGGGAACACGATTCTTATCACAATACCATCCATGAATACGATACAATGTCTGCTTTATTCTCTATCTCTACACACTTGTCTCGTGTATTTTCTTTTTAGTCTGTGCTTATTCATTACTTATTTATGTGTCCCACCCAGTGTTAGACTCTAAACCCCTTAAGGGCAAAGCCCTTGTCTACACGGTTCATTTTAGCTCAGCAATTCAGCATCGTAGGCACTTGGGTAAAATACCTGGTGAACTGCTGATAGTAGTCATGGTAACCATGACATTCACCTCCATTGATCACATCCCTTATCTGCATGGTAGACATTTTTCTCATTTCCCAAAAGAGATGTATGTAGTCAGTTGCCTAATCAAACCTGCTAGGAAGAATGTGTGAACATCTGAACTGGCGTGGTCTGGAGGCTCTAAAGTTAGTGGGTCTTCTGTCTTGCTCCGGGTTTTTTTTTATCCCAGTGTAGTACTCACTAATTTTGTTTTGCTTGTTTGCTTTTGGTTTTCAAGACATGGTTTCTCTGTGTTTTCCTGGCTCTTCTCACTGTGTAGATAGGCTGGCCTTGAACACAGAGTTCCACCTGCCTTTACCACCTGAGTTCTGGGAGTAAAGGCAGGTGCCACCACTGTCCAGCCTCACTATTTTTGAAAGAAAGTTGTTGAACAGATTATTTTACTGTTTAAACAAGCAGTGCTTTCTTTCCAATACAATTCTGCTCATATGACATATGAATTTCATCACTTGCATGCCATCCAGAGACATTATTAT